CCTCGTGGGCTTTTTGGTTACAGGAACAAAAGGCGGAGAGGGACATGTCGTGATAAGAACAAATGTAGTTATCGCCTATAGAGAAAATTTCCGTAATTAACGGTTCACCATGGCAGTTTCCGGAATCATTCCATCACGTTTCGGTGTTCCCCTGCTAGTGAATGCCAGAATTGTCAAGGCATTACATGTAATATACCTAATTACCTAATATATTGGGGTTTCTGACAAAGGAATTGGCTGTAATTAGTCTATTATACTAGAAAAATGAAAACTTTAATTCATTTATTTGACCAGTGATTTATACAACAGAGTTGACAAAAACAAAGCAGGATTTGGGCGAACTTTATGCCTATAAGAGCGATTACCAGCAATAACGATCTTCGGCATTTTGAGATCGTGCGTATTATTTAATAAGTTAAAACACGAAGTTACTTTTCAGCTTTTTTAGCTTGCATTTCAATTAATTTTTATATTTACACGAAATAAGACAATATTTTTTTTATAGTTTCCACAGCAACACAACGTGATTTTACAAATCGTGCTACAATGGATGACCCTCGCATTAAATGGATAAAATGCCTTCTTTACAAGTGTTTTTCCCTTAAAGATGACGATATTTTTTCGGAATTTTTAAAAGAAAATTCTGGGCTTAATCTTTCACAACTCGAAGATTTTTTTGACGCTTTTCCCGAGTTTACTTGTCGCTGTGTTTCTTTTACAACTGAAACTGTCGAGGACAATGTGTATGATGAAGTTGAGATTTCGGATGACGAAGGTTTGTTGATAAATTTTTATAAATTTGTTAGTGAATGAAAAAGAGCAACTTGATGAAAGCGACATCGCTCAACCTATAAGTTTACCGAAAGACCATGCTGATGTGCATTCAGAGACTGCTAGTACAAGTCACGGTAGTCAAAGTTCAGACGTCCATGAAGACGATAACTCTAAAAAGAAAAAGGTAAGAAAACGCTTCCTATATGACCGTATTAGATGGTTCTTCGAACTGTCGAGAGAGTCACTCTTGTTGCTCATTTCGATGTCCAGCAGCCTCCAAACACAAAAGCCTGTGTTGTTTTTATTAACCGTACAACTGCTGATTTGATACCAAAATTTTCTACGTTGGCCGAAGCTAAAATTAGCTTGCCTCGCCTTCTGGAGATAACTGTTACTACAGGTGACCGGCTATCGTCTTTGCATTCAGTGCTTCAAAATGTTTACGCGAGACAGTTGGCTTATAATCAACAAGAATATTTGGAAATATTTACTGAGGGAACTGATCAAAGAGATTCAACCATTACACTATCAGGGAAACCGCAAATGAATGGTGAAGACACTGACGTTCTAAACCATGTTGTTCGGGATGAATTTTTGATAAACCTCCGAAAATTTATGCGGTTCGTCTCCAGCACTCTCGAGTTCGTTATATCTGAGGAGAAACTACCTGTGCCGGTGCTTGACTTGAAAGATAATCCCGAAGAAAACATGAAAGACGAGAAGCTTATGGCTGAAATAGACACAATTGTTGTCCAGTGGAATCACCAGGTAAGAATGCAGTGTTTTAAAAACAATCCTCAGGTACGCGAAACGATCGAAAAACTGCAGTCCCGCAGCCCCGTGGGGCATGGCCCTCTTGCCGAAATAGATTTCTGGCGTGATCGAGCAATATCCCTGACGGCTCTTGTTGAACAATTCAATCAACCAGTTGTCAGGAAGATTCTTTGGCTTTATGCATATAAGGAACATTTATCTCCTGCTTCTCAAAACGAACAACTACATAATATGTACCTCGAGGCGAAAGAAAATGTGAAGTAAACTTAAAAATTTGTGTGGGAGACATACATTTAGGTTCCTGTCGTTGGTTGAAAGGCACTTGAAGACCATAACTTACGCAACTAAATTAAGTGATGTAACGGAAACACTGAGCCCGCTTATGCAAGCGCTACAAATGATTTGGATTATTTCACGACACTATAACAAAGATGAGCGAATGGTTCCACTCTTCGAACGCATAGCTTGGAGCCTGTGCGACCGGGTTTCAAGAGTTCTTGAACCCTCGAGTTTTTTCTGGTAAGTCCTTAATTATATGCTTTTTACCTGCGATCATCAGCCTTAGTGCCGCGAATATAATTAACCTATCATCCGAAGCCAAGCTCCTTTTGGATTCCTGGAAGTCAATATATTTCGTCAAGCGAGCCGAAATCGAGGCCTCTGGTCGCGATTCCAGGTGGGAATTTGACAGGAAAAGACTTTTTGCCAAAACGGACTATATCGCAAAAATTTGTTCCGATTTCGAAAATATCGCTCGAGTCATTAGCGAATTTCAAAAGATATTCGGACCGGAAGCAAAATCAGTAATGCTCGAACACAAACAAATTGATGGGATCCTGTTAAATGTGGCTACTCTTCTGCGGTCTTTTTCGAAGGTATTATGGTTCTGTGAAAAATACCTATGCTTGAATTGTGTGTTTAAAAGTAAAATGTCCGCTTAAATTTAAGTGAACTAATTCTCTTTGTACTTATGCGTTTTTCAGATTGAATTTAACCCCTTTGATCCTGGGTGTCAGTCCTCCTGGGATGCCTGTCTTGAAAAATTCCGACAAGATGTGGAAAAGATTAAGACGGACGTCAAAAGCTGTATAAATGATTCCTTTAAATCATTGCGGTCATCACAGGGAGCTTTTGAAATGCTACAAAGATTTTCCAGTAGTCAAACAGCGGGAGACATCGCCTCAGTTTTTATCGAGAAGTTTCAAGATGTTCTTGACCAGTATGAGAGGGAATTACGGCTTGTGGAAACTACCTTTGACGAAGTGGTTTCAAATGCCCGAGAACACGAATTCAATCTAGGGCCTAAATATTTTCCAGTAGTTTCGGGTGCAATATCCGTTGAACGTCAACTTTTTAATCGCATCAAAGCCCCCATGGTAGGTTTTGTCGAGACCAAAGAGCTGACCGACACTGAACGGGGAAGACAAATTCGTGACCGCTACGTCTGTGTGGCACGTCATATGAAAAATTTTGAGGAAGAGCTTTTCGCCGACTGGAAGTTGCGCATCTCTGAGTACCTACCTGGACTTTTGGAACGAAAATTGTGGAAATCGTCAGATAATCTGCCCCAAAAACGCCCATCCAAACCCTCTTTGACACTGGCACGCTTGAGAACTGGAATATCAAGTCCAACGACGGACTCAACATTAACAAATACTACAAGATTTGGACCTCTGCTGCCCATACTCGATAAGACCCTGTGTGAGTATATACCTTTGCTTCATCTATTTTTTTAACCACACGCCTTATAAATAATTAAATGTCGGTGTTAGTTCACATGTACGACGAGCGCTGCCGGTTTTTACTGTTAATGGTAGCAGCCTATATCACCGAATTTGCACATTTATACAGCATATTTATGACAGCTTGATTTTTAAATAGTGGTAACTTAACTCTTTCTTCTGCAGTTGCAATAAAACTGAAGTATTTTTAATGCCTGTCAAAAATATTTTCTTTCCGTTTTGCAGTTTTTCCGTACGTTAGCCAATTTCTTTAACTCAAAGTTACTTATGTCTTTGTACTGGTCAGTCCTCTTAAGTTAAATGTGCTACGCACTCTTAAACATCGACCTATCATAGATGCTCATCATGTTATTTATGTATGCTTTTTTTTGGCCTTCTTTGCCTGCTTGTTTATACAGGGTTGACAACCAAAAATAACCTAGTTTTTTCCTTATGTTTAGATTATTTCCACTTTGAGGTCGACTTCGACGACGCTTTGGAACTCGTAATTGTCGAAACAAAATATCTGGACAATCTAGGATTAATTGCGCCTGATTTGGCGCGCCACCTGGCTCTTAATGTACGCAATACTGCCTGCTTTGTTTATATAAAAAATCAAAAATGTTGCACGTACATATTATTGCCGACAAAGATAAAGAAGACTGGAATGGTTATTTCTAGCGTATTAACCGTCATCAGTCAGTCATACCCAGCCGCAAGTGGTGCACAACTCGAGGCTCGAACTCACGGGTCGAGTGAGTACTGTTAGCCGTCTGTGAAAGTCCATAAACGAGTGACAATATTTCCCTAGCTAAACCAGCAATGGCTCAATGGTTGGGGCGTTAGAATCTGATCAACAAGGTCGCGACTTCGAGCCTCGAATAGGGTTTCATTTGGGGCTGTGTATGCCTGGCTGATGACGGCTAATAGGCCAGAAATGGCCATTCCAGTCTGCCTTGTGTTCGCAACAGTAGTATCTGCCTATACTACTAGCTGCTACAGCTGCTGTCAGAGCCCAAGGCAAGGGCGGAGCCGGACATTTGGGTTCTGCGGAAGTGCATGTCTCTCTCCCTAAAACTCTTCCCACCCTTTATCGACTGCTATCACCTACCATATTTATTCGTTCTCAGTTCATTGTGATTGCAAGTCACCG